GTTTGGCAATTGGGCCTTTTTTACCTAAAAAATTGCTAAACAAATCATCATTATCATCTTTTAATAGTTTATTTAGACAACATGTAGGAAACGAGCCCAAAATTTCACCTGAAAGATGCCTCCAATGGCTTGATTTACATAGCCTTGCTTCAGTTCTATACATTTCTTTTGGATCTTAAAATACTATCAATCAATCATAGATGATGGAATTCCAATTGGTTTGGAAGAAAATGGGAATCCATTTATTTGGTTAATAAGGCCTCCACTTAGTTTTGACTTAAAAGCAAAATTCAGAGCATAATGGTTACTAGAAGGGTTTGAAGATAGAATGAGGAAGAGCAAACAAGGCTTGTTGGTGAAAACTGGGCACTACAATTGGAGATCTTGTCACAAAAATCTACAAGAGCATTTTTAAGCCATTGTGGTTGGAATTCAGCATTTGAGAGTTTAAGCCAAGGTGTGAAAATGATAAGGTGGCCCAAGGCAGTAGAGCAGGCTTACAATTCGAAGATATTGGTGGAAGAAATGGGTGTCTCAGTGAAGCTGACAAGAGGAATGGAGAGTAGTATTTCAAGGAAACAGGTTAGAAAGTCATAAAATTGGTAATGGACAGGGAAGGGAAAGGAAAGGCTATGAAGAAAAAAGCAGAAGAGATTGCAGACATATAAAGGCAACGATGAAAAAGGAAGGACAAGAAATGGGTCTTCCATTAAAACATTGGATGATTTTGTTTTCAGTCATTATAACAAGGAACCAGATCAATCTATTGGTTCACTTGTAATGACAAAAGCTTGTAATTTCCAGGCAAGATAATGTTGGATAATCAATTTTATATCTTTTCCTTTTCCTAACTAGAAAAATTTATTAAGAAATCAAAAAGCATATCGCTCAATGCTTGGTATCCAATTAAAGTTTACAAGAATAAAGATAGATTTTCTCTCTATATATTTTTTCTCATGTTTTTCATGAACAAAACAAGTCTAAATTTCAAAAACCATTTTCCTTCTAAAATATTTGCCCCAATTTATGAGCTCAATGTGATGGATCACATGCATGAGTGTCATAATGGCTTTGGGTCACTAGATGTAAGGAATTTTAAAATTGAGGAAAAAAATAAATGAGTTACCACCAATCTTTTTTAGTGTATGATTGGCCATCCAAAAGTTTATTTTTTAAATAAACTATAAAAACAAGTTTAAAGTTATCAAAAGACAAATTTTGGTCTACAAAAAGAGATTTTGAGTTCGGTTACATGTGAAAAAGATTAACACCCCACACACCCATAATTGCGTACCAATTTAATCATGCATAATTCTCTGGTGTTGGATGAAATGGTTTTGATTTGAAATTTAATACTAATTCCCTCTTTAAAAAAAAAAAAAGAAAGTAATTTATTAAAATTTCGTTATTTAGGAATATCAAAGAAATCTCTAAAGTAAAAAATTATTTTAAAAATTCTCCAACTTTAAAAGATAAACCTTTTAACTAATATTTATTACAACATTCCTTGAAAATAAAACTAACATTCTTCGGGAAAATAACTATTGGTGACTTTTCAACATTTAAGCAAAGTACCAAGAATTTTTCATTGAGATGTTATTTTTGTTTTATTCCTCATTTTTAAATTAAACATATTTTTTATGCGAAAATATCAACGATGGTATTATTGTATAAC